ATGCAGCACATGCCATGTTAAGTTATTTTCCTGAATATAGGGTTTTACAAAGTTCTGGGATACGCTGTTCTTGGATATCCAGATCCTAATGAACAGATCATGGCCCATAAGTAACAGGACTGGCATGGGATTGCTTTTGTGACAATCTTGGATGAGTCAGCTTGCTACCGATATTTGATAAGTCTTCTACGAAAACAGAAGGGTGCCAACTTACTCATCTCCTTCCATTTCAGGGGGGTAAAATTAATGAATGTTAATGCAATGTAAAAATAAAAATATTATTATGTTGTTGCTTTATGTCACTACTGCAACCATGGCTGGTCGCCTATCCAAGATCGTCTTCTTTCATATAGCAGAACCCAAATTTTGCTCATGGAGTCAATGCGCTTATCTTTTGCAAATAGGTGGTCATGTGACAAGGCCAGCTGAGGAGGAAGAAGCAGAAATCACTGGGTGAAGCATCTCAGAAAGCTCTCTAAAGATGAAGACTCTCTATTTGGGTTAGAATATATTTTTCCCTTTTTGTTTCCTACTGCTTGGAACTGAGATGTGATGCTGGGGTGAATAGCCATTTTTAAGATTACTAGGTGACAAATTTAAGGATGAAAGCCAAACCCAAAACCAGGAATCTGGATTCCTCTGCATCACAGCAATATCATCCTAGACCTAGGCTTCCTACCACAATAGTTTGTGTCATAGAAACAAAACTTCTACCTGATTAGACCTCTATAATTTGAATGTTCTAGTTCCTTTCAATTATAATCAAAATGAATACAATCTCTTGGGGATGAAATCCCCACCCTCAATGACCATGGATTAGTCTATAGCTTCCTAACCAGGAAACAGCCCCAACCCTAATTCTCGGCACCTGTGCTTTACCTGGAAGCCCTATTTATACTTAATGTCACTTTAGGCATCACCCACCAACTCCTCTTTTCTTGTTTCCTTTCCTAAAAAGAGGCAAGGTAGGTGCCAGGAAGAAGTTGGGTTGAGGATAACAAGGTCACAGGATTATGTCAAAGCACAATTATTCAGCCAGGCTGAAATGACCAACAAGGAAGGAACACACTTACCTTCCACATGTAATATGATGCTAGATTCTCCTCCCTACAACAAATCCTCCAGACTGAGCCTGTGCAGAACTGAACACACTACAGAAAAGGGCCTGATTAAAGACTGTGGCTTGTGTAGATCTCTCTTTCATTGAGGTCCTGGCCTATTATGGAAGTTTAGTAAATACCATACATTCAGAAGAGAATTTTACAAAATAAAGATGTGGTCTTTGCCCTAAGATGAGTTTCACTTGGGATCCAAGCCTCTATACCCTCTCTGGATGGTATGCATGGAGAGTCCCAGAGGCTCCCCTACATCCATTGAAAGTGTCCTGTGGTTAGGCAGAGTGTTTGTTCAATGCCTCAAGCCCATCACCCTACTGGGAAACCCATGTGACAGGAGACCCATGTGGCAGGAGTCTACAAGCATCAAACAAGGCAGAAGTCAACACAATCAACCAGAAGAATCCAAACGCTAGCTCACAGGCTCAGTTATTCCTAGAGAAGAGGTCTCTAGTCTGATCAGAAATAGCTGTGCAAGTAGTTGTGCAAATAGTCAAGCTATTCAACTTGACCCAACATTATTCAACATTGATTCAAGTCTATGGTTGTCAGAGTGTGCAAAGTCTCAACTAGAACTCAGGAGTAGGTTCACAAGATCTACTGTACAGCGTGGTCATGGCTAGTAACAATACATTCTGCACTTGGAAATTGCTAAGAGAGCAGATTTGAAGAGTTTCTATCACACAAAAAATAGGCATGTGAAGTAATACATGTAGAAGACCTGGATTTAGCCATTCCACAATATGTACATACTTTAAGACTTGAGATAGCACATAGTATAACTTTTGCCAATTAAAAATAAATAAAATTAGGGCTGGGGATTTAGCTCAGTAGTTCTGGAGCCTGCCTCGCAAGCACAAGGACCCGAATTCAATCCCCAGTACCACCAAAAAAACAAACAAAAATAAATAAAATTAAAAGCCATTTTGCTTAGATAATACTTATTGAACAAAGTGATATTAAAAAGATCAGTCAAAAATCAATGATCCTGATAAACCAAAGTGATTTTCTACACATACGTATGATATCACAGCTACCAACATGGAGGCCTCATATAAGAAACGAAGGAAAATACTATCTCCTTGTCACCTCTTAGTTTTTCCAGTTGAAAGGGCTCCTGATGTATTAGCTGTTTCATCTCTTTAATGTCCCTGTTAAGAGCAGGAAGAAATGGTTTGGTAGATCAGAAGGATCCAGAATCAGGTTCTAGATGTATTCGCATTCTTAGCTTTTGCCACTAGGAACCCAGGGATGAGGAGGGAGGGAGTGGGTATCAAGAATCCGATGACTAATACATAGAATATATTTTGGGAAATGCTGGCTGCAACCTACTTAGGAAGCTGGAGTGTGAGGAGGTTCAAGGGCAGGGGTGGGGGCCCATGCTTCCCTGAGGTGGAGGTTTCCTCTCAGAGAGCTGCCCAGGGACCTGTGAATGACTCTGAGGCTGCAGCTCACAGGGGTGACTCGATTTCTGTCAGGCTGGGGTTCTTCCCTCACTGCTGCTTTTTCTGGTGAATATCATTATCAGCCATGTGACTGTCAAGCCTTTTTCCTAGGCTTCCTCAAGATGTGTGGGTCACATGTCTGAGTGGGCAGATGAATGAAATTCCTGCTTGGCTTAGGGCAGCTTGTATGCCCTGGTGTCCTCTTTTTTAAGACCCCACAGGTCCCCAACAGTGTCCTCCAGCCTCCCCCGACCTGCTTTGGCTTCACCCTCAAATTCATGTGCCACCTCATCTCTATTTTTAGGCACACCCTAGGCCCCAAACCACAACCCAGTGAGGGATGAGGAGGAGCATTGGTGTTCTCCCTACAGAGCACCACTGTTTCTTTCTTCCTTTCTCTACTCACTTACTCCTGTGGTGGGCAGAACATTGTCCCCTAAGATTTCCCTCTCCTAACACTCAGAACTTGTGAAGAAGGTTCCTTACATGGCAAGAAGGACTTTGCTGATGTGATTAAATTAAGGCATTTGCCATTAGGACACAATACCCGATTATCAGGTGGACTCTTTCATGGGCAGGAAGGTCAGGGTCACTGGAGGTGTATCCAAGAAGCAGAGGTCAGAGGGAACAACTACAAGATGCTACCTGATTGGCTTTGAAGATGGGGGAAACCACAAAAGGCAGTCGGCACCTGGAAGCTGCAAAGGATAAGGATAGGAATTCTCCCCTATAGCTCTGCTGATCCCTCAACAAGAGTCTGGTGAAGCCTTCAGAACTGTACAGTAACACATTTGAATTGTTCTAAATCACTAAATTTGTAATTATTTGAGAAATAATCACAACAGAGTACCACATGTCAGAACAGGGAAATATGATGTGTGCCAGGGTCCTCTCTCTTCCTCATGTCCTCACCTCCCCTACCCAGTCTGGCCCTGGTCTTGGCCCTGCTTGGACCAGCCCCTTTCAGCACCTATCTCACCTTAGAGCCCAGGCCTACATTCTTCTCACAGTGCCTGTCACTCCTGGGTAACAGTTTCATCAAAGGTTTCAGACAGACTTTCTGTTCTCCTTTGGCCCCTCAGCCCTTCTTCCTGGGAAGGAGGGAGGCAGGACATCCTAGTCCAAACCCCAGAGTTCACAGATGGTCAGCTGCAAACCCATGTTAGAAGTACTTGGCTCATCACCTTGGGTAAAACAGAGTTCACTGGCATCGTTAGCATGGGAAACATGTGCTAAGCATTATGCCCAGACCCTTACTTTTAATACAGACTAGAATCCATGCATGTCCCAAAGGACAAAGACTCAGATTCATGGCCCAAAGTATGTGACCTTTAAAAAAAAAATACCTGCTCTTGCCTCTTGCCCTGGTCATGACAGGAACCAAGATAAATACCAGGCTCCAAATTTCCTCTTACGAAATAATTGTGATATTATTGTGCACCCTTGATTGGGAACCTTAAGTGTTTTAACAGAGTTCCTCATGTGGAACATAGCCCAGTGCTGCCCATGAAGCTGTTCACATGCAGAATGCACAGGGACATGGCCACTGAAAGGGCCAAAGTAAGACGTAGGCAGGCAGAGCAGGTGCTGCCAGCCACCAAAGACACCGAGTCCACCATTGTTCTACTGCTAATGTGTGACTGGGCCAAAACGCTAGCAAACAAGTTACCTGGAAGGCACTAATTTTCTAAAATTTCCCTTTTTTAAGACAGCTAAAAACATTTCACATCTTCTCAAAGAACAGTTGGGCCTTGTCAGTTCCAGGACAGAGGAAATTCTAACAATCGTGGGTCAAACTGAGGAAACAAGCAGTGCTTACAAAGAGACCTGTTGGCGGGACCATGAGCCTCAGAGAAAGTGGTCATCAGCTCCTTCCTATATCTTGCACACACATAGGAAAGAAGCCAATCGCAAAAGGACAAATATTACAGCATTCTATTTTGTGTGAGGTATTTAAAAGCAGTCAAATCCACAAAGAGAAAGCACAGTGGTGGGTGCCCAGGGCTTGGAATGAGATTTCTTATTTAATGATGAGTTTGAATTTGAAAAGAAGAGAAATTTCTAAAGATTGAAGGTAGTGATGGTTGCACACAGTACTTAAAGCCACTGAACCATACAATCAGTAATGGTTAACAATAGTATATTTTATGCTATAATTATTTTATATTGAAACAATTAAAACCCCACAGATACATATACACGCAACACAGCTCCATCACCTGTTGTTTATTCCACTGATTCACAGGCATAAACACCTGGAATATGCCCCATTCTCAGTGGATACTTTCATTGGTTATAAAGAAACAAACAGGGAAACAGGCATCCTGTGGCACTTCCGGCACTAGAAGGCACCAGCCCTGCCTTCAGGACAGATAAGTTTCTAGTGCATCTGCAAGGGTGGCTTTCAGGCTTTTCTGATTTAGGGGAAGGGAAGGCCTACCTTGTCTGGAAGTGATGCTGGAGGTCACAGCGCTGCAGCACTTCAGTACAGTGCTCTGTGAAAGGGCAGGTGACTAGCAGCTTGTTGAGGAACTTGTTCACCAGGATGTTGGACTTCTTGCAGTGCTGAAGGACAATGGGCTTGCGGTCCACAGGGCAGAAGTCCTTCTCCAGCAGGAAGTTGGTGAGGCAGATGGTGCAGTAGGTGTGTCCACATGGAGTGTCCAGGGGGTCCAGCAAGGCCTGCAGGCAGATGTGGCATATGAGGTCATCGTCCACATCTTCCACATAGGTGTAGAAGTGGTTTTCTTCGGGGGAGTGGGCTTGGCCACACACCACACACAGGGGATCGGGCCTGGGATCTGGGTCATCGACAGCATCAGGCTGGATCATGGTTGTCTGGGAACAGTTCGACAGAAGACTCTGGAAAATGATGTTTCTTCAGGAGGAAGTCAAGATCTTCCAGGGGCCATCTGCAAGAGTAACAGAGAATGAGATGACTTATCTTTGCCTCACAGCACAAAGAAGAATTATCCTTACATCAGCAGGAAACTGCTGCCGAGGGACAGGAAACAGCTATGACGCAGAAAGCCAGGGGTTAGGGTTCACTATGTAGTGCCTGGCATGACCTTGGGTAGTGACTACTCAACATGCCCAGCTTTGCCATTTCCTCCAATGGGAACAATGTTTACTTGAACTTCCTCATGTTGGTTTGATAAAAATCATTTGAGTAATAATCTGTGAAATGCTGAGGGCCACTCAGAAGAAATATGCCCAAAGAAACGTAATCTGTTAACCAAATTAAACAGGTATGTGACCTGTAAAATTCTGTCCCATCAGAAAAGGGGCGGGGTGCATTAATGCTCTCTTCACTCTTTTACCTTATCTTTCCTCTCCAAAAATCATAAATTATAGGACATCACAGCCCTCATCTAAATAATCTGAGAGACAAGAGTTATTGGGCTTTCCTTTTTTTTGTTTTTTGGTGGTAGGAGCACTATTTTCTTACGCACGTATTTTACTCACTCACTTGTTCATTCATCATTGGTTTAGTAGGCTCTGGGCCCAGATTCAAATCCCATCATCACTGTGGGCCAGTGATTCCAGCTCCTAACTCTACATCTGCAAGGTGGAGATAATAAAGGACTACTTTCTAAGATGTATGTGAAGATTAAATGGCATGTTATAAAGTTCTTAGATTTGTGCCTACCATCTTTTTTTTTACTATCTGTTTATGGTAGTACTTGGTATTGAACCCAGAATCTTGCTACATATTAGACAAGGTCTCTGCTACTGAGTTACTACCCCAATCCTTTTTATTTTGAGACAGGATCTTGCTAAGTTGCCCCGGGCAGCCTCAAACTTGTGATCCTCCTCCAAGTAGTTGGGATTACAGTTGTGGCCCATTACACTTGGCTGGTGCCTTGCACTTATTAACTGTGCAATGAATAGTTGTTACTATCCTCACATGTTTTTGTTATAGAATTTTGTTTTCAGTCTAGCTCTACTGGCTAGGAAACTAAAAGATCTAATTTCCAGAAGGGGTCTTTTAACTTTGTTCTAATAGTACTGTTTATCGATTACAAATTTCCTTCGAACCAGTCGAACACTACCACTATATCTACTTTCCTCTGCCATAGATAGGGGTTTGAAGTAATGGAGCCTTTTGACATATTTGATTTACACCTAGTAAGCCTCTTGGATAGTCAGTCAATAGATATTTTTCAAGCAGCAGCTGTGAGGCAGGTAGTGGGCTGGACGTTGAGGCCTCCGAGAGAGCCAGGGGTAATGTGCCTCCACTCTCTCCGGGGAGTCCCAGTCTAGAGGCGAGGTGAACATCCACACAGCTAAGTAGAGGCCCAGGTAAGCAGTGCAAGTCAGGACTCTAGGTCAGTCTTCATGGTGAGTAAAAATCCTGCCTTTCCCTTACCCCCAACTCAACTTTCTTCTTTTCCAAAAGCAAATAAGAAGATCTTAAGCTTTCCACAAGAACATGAGTAACGTAACAGGAAACTAGCCACATGTGGAAATAGCATGGCAGTCATAAACTCTGCTACATTTTTCTTTTCCAAATAAAGTCTGAGGTTGTTTGTACAAACACAGCCTTATCTTAAAAAACAAAACAAAACGAAACGAAACACTGACTTCAAACTTTCATTGAGTCAGCTCCATTGTTTACATTTCTGTGCTGTGCGAGTGTGCCCAGAAGAACATCCTGGAGGAGGAGTTGAGGTTAAATGGTTGAATATGAAAACACTTAGAAATCACAGTATCTTATTCAGTGTCAGATGAGACCACAGAGGGCAGAGGTAGAGGGCACAAGGAAGGGTAAAGTGGTTTCCAGGAAGGCTGAAGGGGCTTCCAATAAGACTTCATGGGAAACTGCAGCTGCTATTTGTCCTCCAGGCTGATAGAAGTTTCTGGAACCTCACAGGAAATTCTTTAAGTGATGCCATAAATACGAAAACGGAAACAGGTCACCCAAAAGGTTATCACACACTGTGCAGGAAGGAAAAGCATTCACATGTAGTGAACTGAAGCTCTAGGCCAGTGGCAGTGAATCTATGGCACGCGTGTTGCAGTGGGCTGCTTGCATCACTGAAAGCTCTAAAAGGTTCATCATCACTGCTCTAGGTCTTTTGGTTTCCTTTGAAAGAGTTGGGTCTTGTATTCCCACATGCTCTGAGCCTGTCAGTTTTTTCTCATTCTCCTGAGTGCAAGAGTCTTGTAACAGGAGATCAGGTTGCAGGTATGGTGGTAACATTGAAAACACAGCTTCACCCATCTAAGTTATTCCCTTCCCAGATTTTGTGCTATTAATCTGTTTTCTAGAAGGCATAAGATGCCTCATAGTCTCCAATAGCAGTGAAGAAGGAGACAAGGGCGGACCCTTGCCCACCTGCTATCCTTTGGAGGTTTCACAAAGGCCCACAGGCTAAAAGCTTGGTCCCCAAGGTGGCGATGTTGAGAAGTGGGACCAGGTAGGAAGTCCTTGAGGATGTGTGCTCCAAAGGGTTTGTGGGACCTGGCCTCTCAGTCTCTGTTTCCTGCCTCACGAAATGAGCAGTTTTCCTCTGCCACATCCTGCCAACATGAGGTATCACCACTGCCAGCAGCCCAACGCAAAGGGGCTACCTGATCTTGGACTGGAATCTCCAGACTCATGGGTCAAAATAAACCTTCTCTTTTTATAAATGAATTGCTTCAAGTATTTCATTATAGTGATGGGAAGCTGACTAATGTCTTACTTCTCTTGCAACCAGTCCCAGGACTGCACTTATTTTACTGACACACTGGGTTCCTCATAATATTATGTTCAAGGAACCTTAGCTTAAGAAAAAGAAGAAACTATAAACCACCAAAATAGATAGCATAAAGTCTCTTCCACAAAGTTCTATGATCCTGTGCCAATTAAGAGCAGTGTTTTTGTTTGTTTTGTTTTTGATGGTTGAAAGTTTAGAAAGATCCCTTTTCTTTACTTCCTACAGCTTTGTGAGCATTTGCCATGTGCTAGGCATTGTATTAGGGATCTTATATTACATTATTTAATCCTCTCCAGCCCCAGAAGTGTGTGTTGTTTCTAATTTAACTGATGAGGAAACTAAAGCATGGTATATAAGTAACTTGCCAGCCACACCCAAGAATAAAACCACCAGGCAGGGCTGTCTGATGGTACTTTGTGCACCGAAGCATTCCACGCCCCTGTCTCCCTGCATCTTTCATGATAATGGCTAATCAGAATACCAATCACACAATTATCCAATAAAAAATTCCAGAGAAATCAGAAGGTTAAAAAATCTCTTTAGATTCATTTTACATATGTTGAAGATCCCACAAGGAAGAGATTCCTGGACTCTACTGAGCACAGGAAGGCCTGAGGCAGAATGGACGGAATGGGCTGGTGCACAGGTGGGCTTCAGCTCCATCTCCAACTTTTCTCCTTTCCCTTTTTAAAAAAAAATTAATTTTTTTGGTATATTTTAGGTATACAATATAATGACTTTCATCACTGGAGATTTGCACCTTTACATAATCTCTCTTCCTTCTTATTTTGCCCCTATTCCCCTGCACACCCTTCAACCCCTCCATCTCTCCCTATTTATAAAGACTTTGTTTCCTTATTTTTCCCTTTCTCACATTTTTTTCTTTTCCCTTCTTACCTTTCCCCTACCCCTCCCATTTCCCCTACTCCTTTAGACCTTTTCTTCCTTTTACACAATATCTATTGTACATTTTGATCCTTATTTTCACTTTTAGTTTTACACACCAGAGAAACTATATGATATTTACACATGTGTGTCCTATTAATTTCACTTTAGAGTATGGCCTCAATGTACATCTATTTAGCTATAATGCTTCTAATTTCTCATTTTTTATGGCTGAGTAGTACTCCCTTTATTTTTTAAAAAGCCACATTTTTAGTTGATGGGCAATTGGGCTGTTTCCATGTTTTAGCTATTACAAATTGTGCTGCTATGAACATGGGTGCACATATATCACTGTGGTATGATTCTTTCTTTGTGAAGATATCCAGCAAGAGAACAGCTGGATCAAATGGGATGTCTAATCCTAGTTCTCTGAGGTATCTCCATACAGACCTCCACAGTGGTTGCACCCATCTACATTCCCATCAGCAGCAGCTCCACCAGCATTTGTTATTGGTTGATTTCTTGATAGCAGCCATTCTTTGTGGGGTGAGGTGGAATCTCAGTGTTGTTTTCATTTGCATCTCTTGAATGACCAGCGATGTTAAACATTTTTTCATATATTTGCTATTTCTACTTCATCCTGTCCCCCTTTCTCTTTCCCTCCCTTTCTTTCTTTCTACTTCTGAGGCCAGTTTGAATTCCCTGGCACTTACCCATGTAGTAAACTAATTTCTTAATGTATTATTAATGTAAACACTGCTGTATATATTTTCTAAATTTACTTTAGACTAAATAAAGCCTATGTGAATAAAAACAGATTCTGAGCAGATTGACTGAACAAGCAGTTTGGCCTCTAAAGCAAAGACTTTAAAAAACATGATTATTATAATGTACCTGCCTGTTCTTTACAGTGCCTGTCTTTAAACACATATGTATCATGTTTTTAGACTTGGATAGGCCTTGCTACTGAGCTGAGATGAAATGATCAAAAACCATTGACAGATCAACTATTTTCTCCCCTGAAAAGCAAGGGAGGGCCTGTCAGCTTTGAGAGCAACATCCTAACAGGCTGAAGGGCAGGCAGGTCCTCTGGGGACTGAAGGTCATACTGTTACAACTAACCCTCCTGAGGTAACAGCCTGAATCCATTTGGAAGGGCAGAGCCTTTATGGCTTAATCACCTCTTATTGTCCTCATAACAGCACTTAAATTTCAATGAGAGCTCAGTGAGACCCTGAAACCACAGTACTGGCTGACAACAAAAATACAGACTAGGATGAAAGCAAGAAGGTGCTGCCTGTTGACTGAAAGGGTCTTGGCGATCA